ACCCATCTGGTTTCAGTTGAAAGTTTTTCCTTTATCAGATAATTCTGATTGATTGGAAAAATAGAGATTAAAACTGATCCTTCTTCATTTAGCAAAATTACATTCCCTATTTGCCTGGAGTTTCCTTGGATACCCACCCAATCACTTTCCTTGAGTTGAGGGTCTTTCCTGAGAATCCTTAGCCATGGTATCGGGATGGCTTCAGTAATTGTTTCAATTGCCTTTTCTGTTCCTCTGCAATATCTTAACCTCGACCCGAGGCTGGAGAGCTGGTGCCAATCCTTGGTATCTGTGTCCCAAATGTCCCCTATCCTAAGAATCTCATTCTTTACCCAACCATTCCAAGGGGAATCTGTCCATTGAAACATCCTGCTTTGTGTATCTGTGATCCACCTGTTATTGTATAATGGCTGCTGACAGACTTCCTCCCATCTGTTTGGAGCAATTTTGTTTGATAGAGGCAGTTTGCGCCAAGTTTTAAGAAGGTCTGTCCAAAATGGATCATTTTTTATATCCATCTTTGTGGCCTGTCGATGGGAATTTGCTGGCTGAACAGAGCGCTGCGTAATGCCCATAGGGATGGGCTAGTAACGATTCTCCAACCATGTTAGTGGATCAGTCTCATTGGGTACTTCCGGGGCTAGTCTTGAGATCTGTTCTTTTGCTAGAGCTGCAAGGGGGTCTCTGGATTGAAAAGTAGTCTTTTAATCCACTGAATCGAAAGGGCCCTGGCTTGGGTAGAGGGGTCTAATATTCCCAGTCCTCCTTGTGTTTTGGGTTGGATCACTGCGTGTCATGCCACTCTGCTTAATACATTCTTATGATCGTGGTTTCCTCTCCACAGGCATGCTGTTATTTGTCGTTGAAGGGGTTTAAGAGTTGTTTTATCCAGTGCCTATACTGCTGATTTGTACCAGAGTGAGGCTAAGATGACATTGTTAATGACCAGCGACCGTCCTATAATAGAGGTTCGTTTGTCCTTCCATAATTACAATTTCGCCAGAGCAGGTTTTCGTATCCATTCATTATTATCAGTTGGCTTGCCCATTGCAGAGAGTGAACCCTTCTTGTATAAGAGGGTCAGAACCCCTTGTCCTACTATCTCTCCCATACCACCAGAGGACCAGACTGTATGGTAAAAATCCATCAGATCTTGGACCAAGAAATCCCACATGACTTCCCAAAACTTTTTTGGTAAGCCATCGATCCCTGGAGTTTTTTCTTCTTCCATCATCATCAAGGCCGACCAGATTTCTTCCTTTGTGAGGGGGTTTTCTAGCATTTCTTTCTGGTGATCCGTTAGGGCTTTGTTTAGAGGTTGAAGGAACTCTTCTTATTTTACTCTTTGCTCTCTCAGCTGTTTACATTCTGATGTGAAGAGAGATTTGTAAAAATCCCTAGCTACTTTTGTGCATTCCGCCGTCGAAGTAACTAAAGAGGTTTCCTTTCCTTGAGGGTCAGAGAAAGCCTCGATGATTGTGCGACCAGTTCTTGTTTTTGCTAAGGTGAAGAATCTTGCATCCATGACACCTTCTATGTTATGTCCCCATAACTTTCCTCTAATTCTAATTCCTTGCCAACGGTGCTCCATAAATGATAGTAATTTGTTTTCAAGTGTGTTGATTTTTGAGAAATTTCGGACTTCTTATCATCACAAGTCGCCTCTGAAAAACAGCAATACCACAGTCATTGCGTGGTCTAGACCCGGGAAGACACTACGAGGGAAGACCCCTGCTACTTGGAGCGCACCCTCCAATTCCTCCGATAAAAGTATCAGGTCTATACGAGACTTAGATGCTTTCATTGTTTGACTTTTTCAGAAACATGTGTAAGTGCGTTTGGTAGGAAAGAGCCGTCTGTAGGCATCAAAGAGGTTGAAAGATTGACATGTTCTTTCTATTATTTCCTCATCTCTCTCTATATACGATGGACAGGGGGAGCAACACATGGAGAGGTGACAATACATGGAACCCCGGCGTCTCAACTCTCCTCCCTAATGGACAATTTGGCGGGAGAGGCCCGGTTCAAAGCTGAGATAGTGAAAATCATCCAGGATCAACTTCCCCTGGGTGGTTCGGCAGTGCTAATCTTATCAGCAGATACCCAGAGGATCTCAACTAGGGATGTGTTTCTAAGATATGAGCACACACGAGCAATCAACCTGCGCTGATTTACTCAGGACACATTGGATGAGATACAACAGCTCAAGGTCAAGGCAGGGGATTTCTGTTCAGAATTTGATGTCACAGTACTCCTCTCTCGCCTTCTCAAAAACAGTCAGTCATTACTAAAAAAAGGCGGTAAGCTAGATTCTGGTCACTGGTTGTCCCTGTAAAAATAATAATAATAATAATAATAATAATAATAATAATAATAATAATAATAATAACTTCAGTTTATAATGGATGATACAAATTTGGATGAAGTATTATACAACAGGAATAACAACTAGAAAAGTCTTAGAAGAGAAACTGACCTCGACCTCAGGTCACTCAATGTAAATGGTTTAGCATCCGCCAAGCAAACTAAAAGGCAAGCAATATATGAGCAACTGGAAGGTATTGGGGGTAAGGAATGACCTGACGCAATCTGTGTGCAGGAAACACATATGATGGACAACACAGATCACCATCATATTCACAAACAGATATGGCCTCACCAGGCTTTCAGGGCACACGCTCCCAAACCAGGCAGTGCAGGTGTAGCAATCTGGCTCCCTCCTAATTCAGAAATCGACCCTCTCTATTGGGAAGTAGACAAGGAGGAAGGGCGTCGGGTTTTTCTGTTGGCTATGCTGGAAATCGAAGTGGTGACTATTTTGTGTGTGTATGCTCCTAATGAGATAAGTGAAAGGTCTCGCTTCTTTGAATCTTTAAAGGACCGACTTCCTGTGGGCATCCCAGTGGTGAAAAAACCTACTTCCCACTTATCCTCCCTCAGTCTGACTAGCAGAATTAACACCCCTGTTTTGGACAAGGCTAGCTCTGCATACCCCCCTGCCACCAGCAAGCGTAACTTTTGTCTCCTACTGACCAGTGCTCCTTCGGGTGGGCAAATGGGGGGCAAGGAGCCTTGTATCTACCTTAGCTTTATCGGCTCTTCTTTTCCTTTTTTCAGAATTTTTGGAACACTTCCGTTACCAAAGCCTTGTCTGAGTCGGACTTATTTACCTTTTCATCAATCTGTTGTGCATCTGTTCCACTGGAGGGTGTACTTTCCTCATTTAGATGGACCAATGAGGAAAGGGGACTGATTTCTTGTCCAGCTAGTACAGGGAGCTTTGGGGAAGTTGCTAACTGTTCTCCTCCCTTCAGCATCAAAAACTTTGGATTGTTCTTTTCTGGATCCTGGATTTCTTTAGTAAGTAATAAAAATTTTTTCTCTCCAGTTAGCTCAGATACCATTTGCTTCAGCTGGTATGTTACTTCCTTTTTTGGTGAGCAGCGAGGGGGACCATCCTCATCAACAGGTACATAGATCGGCCTTCCTTTCTCCTCTTCCTCGCTCCTCTCCCCCCTTACATCGTCTGTTATGCTCCCCTCCCCCACTCCTTCCTTCATCTGATCTCTATCCTTTGACAGCATTTCTGGTTGTGTTTCCGGGGGCAATTTTTCCTTTTGGGGGTTCACTGCTGCTGTGACAAATTTCTCTTGGTTAGAATCCTCCCCGCCTTTCACATGTTCCATCCCTTGGATTATGGGATTTGAAGTGGAGGTTTCCCCTGTTGAGACTAGATTCTTCCCCAGAGGAATTATAGCGACTTTTTCTGTGTCTGAGACTTGCCCTCCTGCCAGTTCTGACTGATCCTGTTCGTTCGGGGGCTGAAATCTGAGCGCTACGATCGGTAACAAGCGATGACACATCTGCTGCCAGCTTATTTCCCAAGGCAGTCCTTGTTCCAATGCTATTCGCAGACTTGTGCTGTTTTCAAGCAGAGAGACCAGCTGAACATAAGTCGAATCCAAAAAGGTCTCAGAGCGACCCAAAAACTTCAGCTTGAGACTTTCTAGAAGCCACTCTGCAACCCTTTGGAGATCTGCTGCATTGACATTCATGGTAGGTAACTCTTCCTCTGCTGTGGAGGTCTTTCCGGAGGCGGGGGAGATCCTGGGAGTGATTCTATCTCCATTGGTTGTGGCTCAAAGACCTCCTTTAATGGGTCCAAGTCCATTGGTTCTGGTGGAGATCCTTCACTTTGTTGTTCCCTTGAGGTTGTTGGATCATGAATTTCGATTTTTCCTTTGCCATGGTCGTGATTTTTTTGTTGGTCCTGGTTGATTTTTCGAATTGGATCCTTTTTCTGACCCTCCTCCTCCCTTGATGCATCCATCAAAGGGGTGAAACGATTGCCCGTTGGTATATAGGCACTCGCATTTGGTCCCAACCGTGTCCCTATTCGTTTTGACTTAGCTGCGTCGCTTAGCTGTTTGTTCTTGTTTCCGTTCCCTTCGCCTCCCACTTTGTCTCCCGGGGAGGGAACGTTGAATGTCTCAGGGGGTGAAAGCGCATCCCTGACGGGCTGCTAACATTTCCCATTTCTGTAAGCGGGAGCGACGGGCCCTTGTGGTCACAGTGGGGTTCCACCCTCCTTGAAGGTCCGTTCGTGGCCCCTCACTTTCCCGCTCGGGAAAACAATGGAAACATTTCCTATTTCGGTAAGCGGGAGCAACGGCCCTTGCCGTCACAGTGGGGTTCCACCGTCCTTGAAGGTCCGTTCGCGGTGGACGGGAGCCTGTATGCGTGGCTCCCCATTTTGCTTTGCCGCGGTGCTGTGGGGTCCACTAGGCCGCTGGATTAGGGAAAATTTTCGAAATACCCGTAGCTCCCCTATCTTTCAGAAAAGAGGTAGCCCCTACCAGCTCCCCGATCTGGTTGGACTTGTTATTTCATTGCGGGCACAGAAATATCCTCCCGGTGCAGACAACCGTGCAGCCATACAGCAGAGGTTGTACAGACGGGACGAGCCGAGCGAGTGGTGTGATAGGGCGTGTGCACGCCACGCGACAGCTTCCAGAAAAACTTGCAGCCTCGTTCGCCACACGGATGAACGCATTGTTCGCCGATAACGAGGGAGAGCCGCCCAGCAAAGGGCGCCAACTATACAGAGGTGAGTCTGTCTGTTTTCCTGCCACGTGGACAGCTTGTCGGGATGTTTATTTTTGTCCTTCAAGTTTTTATGCAAGTGTCACGATGATGATTGCGGTCACGTTTGCTTGTGTTCCTGCTAATTAGGATGACGTTCAGATTGTTCAGCCCTGATGGCTGTAAGCGAAGCTGAGGGCCTATAGTCACGAGGTGAGTCACAATAGTCCTGAAACTCTACCAGGACTAGAAAAGCAAAAGAAAAGGACTAAGGGCAAACTCACACTACCAGGAGTATTGTAACTCACCCCTTGACAGTAATTGCGGTCAGAAACACTCGTTTTGGGAGTCGTGATTGTGACCGGATACGTCCCGGAAAGTGCTAGCGTGCGTACACTCTAAGAGCGGAATGAGGGCGAGAACGGTGTTGGCCGTGCTCTGTGGCTAACGAAGTCGATGAAAGGCAGGGGAGGGGCGACGAAGATGAGTCAGAGGTAACAAGGTGAGAAAAGGAGTAAGATGAGGAGGAGCAGGAGGAGGAGGAGGAGGAGGAGGAGGAGGAGGGGGGGGAAGAAAAAAAGAGCAAAAGAGGAGGAAGTTGGAGGTGTACAATGGTTCCACTTTAGGGCCTGGTTGCACTACTCGCCATCCGCCAACGTTTTGAATGCATCTGGACTCAAGTTTGTCCAGATGCATTCAAAATGTTGACGGATGGCGAGTAGTGCAACTAGGTCCTTCGTGGGGCACACGTGAGGATCGGAGGGGAAAGTTTCCTCATGCCACGTGGCAAACATCTGGGGTGCAGGGATGGGGGTAAGAAAGGGAAAACGTGAGGAAGCAGCAGCTGGACTACAGCAGCAGAGAAGAAGATCTCGAGGGCGAAGTTTCACCGTACCATCGGGGGAAGGGGGTTCCGTTGTGGCACGCAGAGTGAAGGTTGGGATCTCAGTTGATGGATGAGATGAAGTTGCGCGAAGAGGAGGGAAGCATGAGAAAGGAGAAGAAAATCAGCGAGTGAGGTGGAAGGGGGGGTGCGGATGGGGGAAAGAGAGAGAGTTTCGTACTGCCACGTGGCAGGCAGCTTGGTTGGGATATGAGGACGTCTGGGAGGTGAGGGAAGAAAGGGTTTCGTCTCGCCACACGGCTAGTAGCACGCCGGTATCGAAATTGAAATTGGGAGTGGGTGGGGAAAGTAGTGGGGGAAGAGGGAGAGGAGGAGGAGGAGAAGGGAGAAGAGGAGGAGAAGGGAGAGGAGTATCGGGACTACAGCAACAACCATGACACCCGCGGCGACGACCAAGAAGAAGAGGAAGGAGGGAGGAGAGGGACGGAAGGTTTTCGTGGTGTGACGTGGCAGGAGCTTTCGGATCCAAGGAGGAGGAGACTGAGAGCCGTGCCATATGGCAAGCACGTCGGGATCGGGGTTGAGAAAGGGGCTAGAAAAGATGGACGAAGAACGAGAAGAGGAGATCGAGACAGCAGAAAGGGGGCGTCGGGATCGGGGCAGAGGAAGGATGGATTCATCGTGCGCCGTGATCCCAGCGGGAGGGAGTCGGCAAGAGAGTTATCGTGCCATGTGGACAAACAAGTCTGGAGGGGGGGGGGGGGGGGGGGGGGGGGGGGGGGAGGGAGCAAAAGGAGAGACAGAAGAGGGCCAAAACATGAGGCAATACGATTTGGACCGGAATCCCCGACTGGAATACCCGACCGTAATAGAGGAGAGGGGCGGAAAAGGTGGGGCAGGAAGGAGGAAGTCAAGGTAGATGACGACATGATGTGAAGAAGGGTTTGGGGAAGATGATTTGAAACAAATCCGATTACAAATTGAGTATCAGGAACAAGATCCAGGTGGACAGACATCGTTGGCGAGGGTGGAGCACGGAACGGTGGGGAGAAGTGCCGATGAAATCGATGTCACCAAGGCATTTATTGAGGAAGAGGACGCAACGAGGTAGATGTATGAGGCGCTTGTGTGTGTGTGTGTGTGTGTGTGTGTGTGTGTGTGTGTGTGTGTGTGTGTGTGTGTGTGTGTGTGTGTGTGAGAGAGAGAGAGAGAGAGAGAGAGAGAGAGAGAGAGAGAGAGAGAGAGAGAGAGAGAGCTGCTTGGTTGTTAAGGGCTGCCATAGCCGCTGGAGTTTTCAAATAGCTTCCAAGTGTACTCATATAGTGTGAATCTGGTCTATTGTGTGTGAGAAATTCTGTGATGATGTATGCAATTACAGTGTTGTGAAGCGGGTGTGAATTCTTGAATCATGGTGGACATGATGGAGGTGAGCCTACGTTCATAGTATCACGCTTATTGTGTTTCATTTCACAGATTCCAGGCTGTAATAGTCCCGGGATAATGACCATGTAGTAACGATTATGGCGAAGTAAAGGTCTTAAAAGGAGTTTGGTGAGAGTAGAGGAGGGGGTTCAATTCCTGTGTCAATGTTATTGCTCACACTCCATCTTCTTTTCATCTTCCGACACGAACTATGCATTTCTGAGCCCAATCAATTTCGTTTCATGCTTAATGGTGCTTCATGTTTGGGCGTGATTGTGACAAAGCTGTCGTGTGTGTGTGTGTGTGTGTGTGTGTGTGTGTGTGTGTGTGTGTGTGTGTGTGTGTGTGTGTTGTTTCCCGATTTATTAGCTGTGAGGGTGTCATGGGCCTTGGAGGAAGGATTTCTGCATGCCCAAGGGGTCAAACGAGAGGATGAATTGTGGGATAGGCATCGGTAATGCGCAGAGAGGACGTGGGGCATCAGCATTTCACTTGTTCAATGGGCCTGCTGTGGAGGGTCCCTGCCATGATGCATACGGGGCGCGAAAGCTATGTGACCACTGTGATGCAGTACGGAGGCAGAATGGCTGTAGACAACGTTTGCTGGATGATCCTCTGGCGTCAAACGCCGCAGCAGATGTCAGAAGCAGTGGTCAGACATCTGCAGCCGTTGAAGTGATTGCGGGTCATCTAAACAGTCCTGGAAAGCGGAAGAGGAACAGAATAAGAGTGACATCAGCCGAAGAAGTGGCGAGGGCCGTTGCTGCTGCCAGAGATGGAGATGGAGGATGTTCCGTGGCCACATGTGGGCAGACACAAAGGGTATTGCAAGGTCCGCTGCGGTTGGCGCAATGCTGGAGAAAGGAGGATGAGCTGGACACCTGTATGTTCCAAGATGGCCGGTTATGGCATGATGCCCAAGGGTGCGGCGGCATTGCTGCAAGAGACATTGGTGCAAGCGAGAGGTCCTGCAATACCCTCGCAGGTGATGTGTCAACGGCGGACACGATGGCGAGGCTGACATTGAATGCTGCTGGTGGTGGTGGGCAGGCAAAGCGGATGAGGGTAGGAAACTGTCCCCCCACCTCCTCCGTTGCTGTGTCAAGATTGCAAGAGGTCAACGCTAGCCATCTCGGCACAGTTCAGTGGGGCTGCAGCCCAATTAATGGAGGGTTGATGGAAAGTATGGTGGGAAGCAAGACGGCGGGAGACTCGCGGAGCTACTGGCCGCAGCAGTTGCATGGCTGTAATACGACGGTGCAAGCGGGGTTGTTCACAAAGAAGCGGACGCCTCTCCATGTACTGGATGAGGACTGGGGAAGTTTGAATGAGGGACGGGGTGCGGAACGAGTTCAAGTGCAGTTCTTATCTGAGAGGAGTGGAGGGATGACAATGCCGGAGTGTCTGAAGCAGGAAGGTGCAAGTGCACACGCCCAGGTTCTGCCGTCGTCCATGCCACATGAAGAAGCGAATTGGCAGAGAGGACCATGGGAGCAGCCTCAGGGGCTGTCGATGTCTCGTGGAGGCGAAGTGGCATTTGCAGTGCTTGAGGGCTTGAATCAGGGGGGAAGGGTTCAAGGTGGGTCGTCCAGGGCAGATGCAGTGTTGACGTCATCACAGCATCACCAGACTTCGCCAGTATCAGTGGACCATGCGCAGGTGCGATCATGGTTCGTTGAGGATGAAAGAGCAACGGGGGGGCAAGAAGAGCACCTGAATCGGCATGGATGTGTGGAAGGAGGAGTTGAGATGTGTCCATCACCGAAAGTAACTAGAGAGATGATGACATCAGGGCAGTCTACGAATCAGCAGCAATCGGAGGAGCCATTTCAGGTAGTATACTCGATGCCCGACGCAGAAGATGTGGTCTTGTTACAGCAGCACAGCGACTTCCTGTCAGATCATTTATGTCTGACCTCCTCTGCGGGTCTCCACCCTAGTTGGCTGAACGGCGGGGCTATGGAGAAAGAAATTGAGGGTGGCGACATGTCTGTGGTTATTTATAACAAGCTATGGGGCCAATGTGAGGGGCGCTTTTCGGCAAAGGAAGAAATGACTGCTGCTGACTTGTGTTCCATGTCCGCAACTGAGACCCATCAGGTCAATTCTGGCTTGTCCCGAAGGTCCCCTCGATCTTCATCTCAGAGTGGATCCAACGATGGAAGGATGAAGAAAGAACCACGGATATGTGAGGAAGCAGCAACTGCTGCATATGAACATGATGGCTGGAGGAATAACCATGCGCGCCCAGGGTCAAAATATAATCCTGTTATTATTGACGATGACGACTGCGAGCCCTGTAATTACAACAAGCAGCCTGCTTGTGCGAGAGTGGGAGACCCTCAGGAGGATGCCGGTAGAGAGAGCTCCCAGGGTGAGCTATCAGCTGTGACAACCAAGGTGGGATTGGGATTAACTTCGCGACCCCTGCACTCTGAGCCTTGTTCTTCCCCTCCTCGGGTATCGGAGAACCTGGCGTCAAGGGTGCTGAACGCCGACTTCAAGGAGCTGGGCTGGAGAGGTGACCTGAAGCAGGAACGGATATCATCATTGAGTCCGCAAGCAAAAATCAGATGTCGGTATGCAAATTTTGTGGATTTGACACAAGAAGAATCTGATTCACAAGCACACCAAAACCCTTCCCCATCGCTGCTTCCGTGCGCTTCCTCTCCTTTGTCGCCTTCTGCTGCTGGAAGCCAACAGTTGAAGAGGTCGGGTGTCAATTACACAGGGGTATGGTCAGCCTCTGCTCCCTCTCCGATTTGCCCTGATGCTGCTGCTGCTGAGAGTGAAGGCTTGAACAGGTTGGATCTCAGCGGTGCAGGATTACGGTCAACCACTTCTCCCACTTGTTTCGGCCCTGATGGCGCTGAGAGTCAAGTGTTAAAGAGGTCAGATGTCGCAGAGCGAGGAGGTGTACAACCACTCTCTGCTGCATCTCCTGTTTACCGTGATGCTGAGGAGAGTCAAGGATTGAGTTGGTTAGACGTGAGTGAGGCTGGAATATTGTCACCCTCCACTCCTTCTCCTCTTCCCCCTGATCCTGATGGGAGTCATTGCTTGAACCGGTTACAAGTCAGCAAGGCAGGATTACGATCACCCTCTTCTCCCTCTCCTTTTCACTCTCATGGTGCTGAGAGTCAAGGGTTGAAGAGTTTTGATGCGAGGGAGCCAGGAGGAGTACGGCCGCTCTCTTCTGCTCCCTCTCCTATCTGCCCTGCTGTTCTGGAGAGTCAGGGATTGGATAGGTTAGATGTCAGTGAGGCAGGTTTACCGTCGTCACCCGCGACTCCCTCTAGGTTTCCTCTTGATGCTGCTGAGAGTGCTGCTGAGTGTCAAGGGTTGCAAAAGCCAGATGGTAGTGAGCCAAGTGTGAAGTCTTCCCCTTTGCCCTCTTCCTTTCCTCCCGATACTGTGGACAGCCAAGGGTTCAGCAGGCCAAGAGTGAAGTCCTCCCCTAATCCTGCTCCTCTTCCCTCTGATGCTGCTGAGGTCAAAGGGTTGAAGAGGTTGGATGTCACTGCTGAGTTAAGAGTGAAGTCTTCCCCTGCTTCCTTTCCTTTTCATCCTGATGCTGTCGAGAGCACAGGGGTGAAGAGATCAGAGGTCTGCGAGTCGCAAGTGCAATCGTCCCCTGCTTGCTCTCCGTGTTGTCGTGATGCCAGTGAAACCCCCATGTTGAAGAGGTCGGATACTAGTGAGTCGTCAGTGCTCTTCCCCCTTACTCCCACTCTTTTCCGTTCTGATCCTGATGACAGCCTGGTGTTGAAAAGGGTGGACACCAGAGATGCAAACATAGCGTCGCAGTTGGAGTGCAAAGGAGAACCAGCATTTTCAAAGGCAGTCAATTCTGAATGCAATGTCGAGGATGGGAACGAGGCTGGGAATGTCGATCCAACATCGTGCTCGGATTCACCGTCGGCGAAGAAGCCAGCAGCATCTCTTGTGAGCAAGCCATCACTGAGCAACATGGGTGAAGAGGCAAAGAATGACTGGTCAGCATCCTCTGCTTCTGCAAGAGGGAAACCGGTGAGTACTGTTCCAAAATTTTCCTATGAAATACTGTGTACATATGGTGGGGTTCATGTGAGCCCACAGTATGAACGTGCATGATGTGCAAATCCTGGCGGATACCTTGGTACACTACCTCCACCCCCTCCTTCCCACCTTTGAAAACAAAAAGTAACTAGAAAAGCCTAGGACAATTAGCTGGTATGGTCCAGCGAGAACAGTCCTGAATGACCTGTCTGAGAACTTGATGAGTCAGGGAAGGCCCGAGGAGACTATCTTTTCAGCCTTGGAGCTGTAAGGGCTTTTTGTCGCTGTCAAATCGAGCACAAATCTCAGCTTGTTTGCAAATAATGTGTTTGGTCTTCAAGGAGTAGTCTGAAGGGCTATGATGGCTGTAACGGTAGGTATTATAGCATTAGTGGATTGTGCTTGTAGATTGACTCCGCATATGATTGCCCACATGGACAAGGAAGTGGTGTGTACCATGTTTTCGAGTAAGTGGGGTGCATCATACCTGAATGGGGCTGTAGTCTTCAAGTTCGAGGGGATGTTGTGGAGTGTTATATTTGAACATTGTGGTTGGGTACGGTATGTTGCATTCAAACTTACCAGGGGGAGCAATTGTATCTGTGTTGACTGGTTTTGAATTGTTCTGTGGTGTGAGGTGTGAATGAATATATGTGTTTCACAACTTCACTAGAGATTCTGCGAGGCCAATCTTGAAATTTGGAAGGGTGTGTTTGTTATTTGCCAACTGTGAATCTCGCATGCACCTCTTTTCTGGGTGTTTGTGCTCACAAATGCTGTTCTGGTTGTTGAAGTCAACATTCGGAACAATGTTTATGAACAGAAACACCCAGAGAAAAGAAGTGGTAGTAGAAGTTGGCCGGTTTAGTGATCAATGCCTTTTTTCTTGGTAGAATGATATCTGGCTTATCCAAAAATCGGGCAGCTCGTCTCTGATCTTCTGTCCTTGTAGTTCTCCCTCCCTCTAGGCCTCTTACTACCTTTACCATCCCCTCCCTGAATCTGGCGCTGTATTTGCGCCTCCATGTGGTCTGTACATTTGCACACTCAAATGTGTGTGCACGCACACCTACATACGGCGGGTCATGCAAGTTTCGTCAATGCACTCAATTGGAGTCTCTCACAGAAGGATGCAAGTGCTAAAAATAGCCCCATCATGAGAACCGAGTCACCAGAAAATAGACAAGTAAACCAATAGTACAAATAAGGTTCCTTCCCTCTGCAGCTCCCGGTCCCTCTCAGCCCACTCACCACCTCAGCAGTGCAAGTCCCTCGCTGAATGTCACTAATGAAGTCTCTCTGCAGGTTCCAGCTATGGCACCCAACCTCCAGCATCAACACAGACTATGGAGGTTGGCGCCAGCCTTCTTCAGCCTCCTGATGTGACCACCAGCAACTTCCATATCACCAGCATCCAGTTAAGTCGAGGTAAGATTCCCACGTACTCGCTCCTCGTCCACAACACACAGTCCTGATCACCCTTTTCCTTGCCCTGCCTCCCTCCTACAGCTATGGTGTCGGAGCGCTCTTCCTAACTAATGGACAACTTTATTGCACTACTTTTCTGGCCGGCACTCTCCTCCTCTGTTTGGCACCAGCCTCTCCTCACTTCTCACCTTGCCTAGCAGCTGTGTTGCCGCTAATCGTAAGTTGAGTTGAGAGCCGTATGATAGGTGACTATCTCGTACGGTTCGGAGAGGACTCGAGTAATCACCAAGGGCACCGAGCTTGTCAGGGCGCTTGTCAGGAAGTGGCGAGCATGGGGCTAATTTGCCATAGCCAACCCTGAGGGCAGGATAGCGAAGTGCCTCAGAGTGGCAAATTACCCCTGAGGACTTCAGGGATCACTGAGCGGCTTCATCCCTGAGCAGCGCTGAGGGAGACTGACTGTTAGTGTCAATCTCATGAGAAAATAACCTCATCTGGGGCTATTTATAGCATCAGCAGCTGAGGGGACCTCTGGCGAGATAATTTCTTGTTGGCTTCTGAGTGCCACAGGGTCAGATTCAGGGAATCTAACAACAAGGGTTGCAGCGCCTCAAGATCCTGAAGAGGATCAACAAGTTTGAAGTGGTTCTGTGCGTGGGACGAAGAGGAGGAAGCTCTGGAAGAAACTGGCGAGATGAGGGTTTCAGTCTGCCATAGCCAGATCTTCACTCAGCTCTGCAAGAAACTCTGAAAGTGAGTCCGTTCCATGCACCTACCTGTATAGCAATTCAGATAGGATTAGATTAGTCAGTAATTATGGTCTATTTGTCTGTCAGTGACTGGATGTGAAAATCGCAGACTGCATGACAGCCATAGCCATCTCTCCCCTACCTTTCTCTGCTCATTTCTAACCCTCTGTTGACTCTTTTGCATCCAAAATTGTTATGTGACTGCCTTACTGTATTGTGCTGGATTTGGGATGCTCAGACTGTGAATTCTGCACTGGAAAAGTAGTGATATTGTGAATTGTAGTTTCGCGCTGAGTCTAATTATAACCTGTGCTACCTAGGGTCAGTCATAACTTCAATTTTGTCCGTCAGAATTCAATTCTGTCAGTTGTCAGTCAATCACAATCCAAAAATAAGCAATTCTGCAAAAGCGCTTGATTGGATTTGCAGTATTTCACTGGAAACAGTGAATACTGTACGTCTCCATACCCCAAGGTATGGTCGCCAGAGTCATCAGGGCCAAAATTGGAGTCTTGAGTTAGGATTTAGGGTCTCTGACTGAATCGCTCTGCTTGTTTGATCCTTCTTGTTTGTACTTGCCATATTCTATCATTCCCACTGACTACTCTTGTTTTCTGGTGGGCTCTAGACACCTAGTGTTTCTCCGGAAGAGTAGTGGATTGTTTCTACTAACTCCAGTGTGGTGCAGGGTCAGTAAAAGGAAATCGTGTGAATGATTTTACTGGACTGTCTGTCTGTCTGTCTGACACATGACCCCAGGGAAACCATTCTAACCCAAACCGTTTGTTGCCTATTTACCCACCTACCTCTGTGTTTGAGACAACAATGATTTCTGAGTGTCTGCAGGAAATTGAAAATCGCTGCATACTCCTCTGTTTGTCCATTATTTATTGTTGTTTTGAAAGTGGAAAATGGCGGAACAGGGTGCTCAGCAGCAGCCACAGGTAGAAGTAGTGATGAAGGTAGAAGAACCACAACCTTCTACCTCCACCCCTACTACTCCTCTGACTGCTACTCAACAGAAGGAGGAGCTACAAGAAAGACTGCAGCAGGAACAGACCCTGCTTGCAGAATTGGAGAGACAGGACGCAGCTGAGTTAGAGGCTGCAACAGATACTTCTCGCAGGGAGTACCTGTTGGAGCAGCTAAACAAGGTCCTGACAGATGGCCGCTGCTCCCAGGTGAATAAGAATCTGGCGGAGTGGGCTCTTTTAAAACACAAGGCCACCAGTTCTTATTTCACTAACTGGGATGATCGCATCGGTCGCCTGGAACGCAGGGTGGACGACCTGGCAGCTCAACTGTCCAAGATACTGAATGCAATTTAAAATCTGACTGCTCAGCTGACAACCGCCAAACTAATCGGTCCGCAGTCTCCTCCTCTCTCAGTGAAACCTTCCTCTTTTCCTCCTTCAACTCCCCCTGGTTCACGTCCATCTTCCCCTTCACCACCTCCTTCCCAAAAGGCCTCAGCCAAACCCACCTTTGCTGCTGTGGTTGCAGGGGATCAAAGAGGTCCCAAGATCCCTGCCCCCAACAAATTCAGGGGGGATGACCCCAAGACTGATGTTGGGGACTGGGCTGCAGGGACCAGGGCCTACTTGAGCGGCTTCATTTGCCCAGAACAGACAAAGGTGGCTACAGTTTTGGGAGTGTTGGAGGGGCCTGCACAAAAGTGGGCTACCTCTACCTCCAGCGGTCTGCAAAAAACTATGGAGGATTGGGCTTTGGGATTGGGGGTGGACAGTCTTTTGCAGGCTATGGAAGACCGCTTTGCAGAGAAGGAGCGGGCCCACAAAGCTGCTGACAGGATTGCTCGCCTGGGGCAGCAACGCTACAGCGGTGCCCTGCAATCGTTGTTTGCAGAGTTCGAGCAGCTAACTTCCACACCTGGCTTGGTCATGTCTGCAGGTGACCTACTAACAAACTTCTGCAGGGCAGCCCCTGAGAAGTTTTTTGTTGCTTTGTACAGCGTTGGGCACAAGGATTGGATATCCTTTGGCCGTGCAGCCCTGGACATGAAGGCAAAACTTCATGTTCAGGCCCCCTCTGACAGGAGGAAAGGTGCCTTCCCTCGTGGTGGTAGAAAGGGAAAGGCAACCTTTGCACATGCACGGTCTGCATCAGCTTCTGATTCAGACTCCCAGGCTGATACACCATCGGCTGGGATTGGATCAGCTGCTGAGACAGATGTTGCAGCGGCCCTGACGCAGGCTGTTCTGGGAGTTCTGCAGCAGCAGAAGAGATTCTCTCCCACCACAGCCTCAGCCAGTCCCAAGGGGAAGGACAAGGGACGTCGGCCTTCCTCCTCCCAACGCCCTAATCTGCCCAAAAGACGTCCGGATGCCAGCTGACTCACTCAATCCCTCCACTCTCCCCTGGCATGACCTCAAGATCCAGGAGGGAGTGTGGAGAAGAAGAAAGGAAAGAGGGGTCTGCCTGAGATGTGAGGGACAACACTTTTTAAAGGACTGCCCTTACATGCCAGGCCCGGGTCGGTCAAAAAAACGAAACAGACCCTGGGGACTGCAGTTCCCCCTAGTGCTGCACTTTTGTCTGCTCAGGTAGGTGAATCTGCAACTGTCTCAGTTGAGACTGTAGGTGAGAGAGTTTGGGGACTGCACGGGCAGCATCCTTTTGTTACGAGGATCCTGACCCAAATTAGGACCCGGGGCAGGATGAGCTTCAGTCACTTGCTGCTTTCTTCCTTCACATGAAGGAACAAAAGAAGAGTAGGTCTGATCTCATCCTACTTCGGCCCCTGATCAACCACATCAGGATCAAAGGGTTGTTAGATTGTGGAGCCACTAAGAACTTCATATCTCCCAGTGTTGTTAAGAAACTGCATCTGGGTATGAAAGTTCAGCAGCTGCAGCAACCTTTGCTGGTCAGAATAGGTGACTCCACTGTTCTCACTATCAGGGATAAGGTCAGGGGTATCCCTGTTTCCTTCGATAGTGCTGGAGAAGTCGGACATAGTCTGAACTTCTACATATTCCCTGATCTACCCTTTGATCTGGTGTTCTCTATGCAGTGGCTGAAGGCAGTCAACCCAAGGATCAACTGACAGATCCCAAAGGTTGAACTACCTAACAGATAGGGGGTGTACAAGCCATGTATGATTGCTGCTGAACACCACCCTAAAACCAGTTGCTACTGTTTGAGAGCGAGGGAGTTTTATGCTCTCTCATGCCAGTACGACCATGAGCGCCTGTTCTTGGCTCTGGTCAAGCAGACAGACGCTCCTCCTGTTTCCCGTCCTCCTGAGATACAACAAGCTGTAGACCAGTATGCTGATCTGATGAAGGAGCCCTTTGGGTTACGCAATCGGCCAACCAAGCATCACATTGAGCTACTGCCTGGAGCGGTCCCTCCTAGGGGCCGCATCTACAGGATGTCCCCTGCTGAGCTTGAGGAGCTGAGAAAGCAGTTTGAGACCTTAACCAACAAAGGCTGGATACGGCCGAGCACTTATGAATTTGGGGCACCAGTCCTGTTCGTCCCGAAAGGGAATGGAGAATTCAAAATGTGCATCAACTACAGGGGTCTCAACAAGATTGCTAGGAGTACAGAGCCACTTCCTAGGATCGATGACCTTCTGGATATGGTGCAGGGCTGCACAATGTTCAACAAAGTCGACCTCAAATTTGGCTACCACCAGATTGAGATGGCAGAGGAGGATGTCTATAAGACAACCTTCAAGACCAGTTATGGTACTTAGGAGTTCCTGGTCATGCCATTTGGACTATGCAACGCCCCAGGTACCTTCCAGACAGAGATGCACCGCATCTTCAGGCCTTATCTGGACAAGTTCATGGTTGTCTACCTGGATGACATCCTGGTATTCAGCAGAACTGCCAGGGAACAGGCGGAGCACTTGGCTCTTGTTCTTTAGTCGTTATGTGACATCCTGTATAAGATTAACAGAAAGAAGTCCTCCTTTGGAGTTCCCTCTGTCATCTATCTGGGTCATGTAATCTTTGGAGATGGCCTGGCTCCTGAAGCAGCCAAGATAGCTGCTATTCAGGAGTGGCCACAGCCACAGATAGTGAGGGGTGTCAGGTCCTTCATGGGTTTAACCTCATCCTACAGAAAGTTTGTCAGGAACTTTTCTGCAGTGGCTGCACCCCTGACCAACCTAACAAAGAAAAACACTCCTTTTCTTTGGTCCCTTCCCTGTCAGTTGGCCTTCACACGACTCAAGAAGGCCTTGACTCATGCACCAGTGCTGAAGTTGCCTGACCCCACTCTGCCACTGCCGCCAATCAGTATGGCATTGGGGCAGCTCTTCAGCAAGATGATGAGAATGGTCTACGGCCAGTAGAGTTCATGAGTACGAAGATCAAGACTCGAAAGCTTCAGGACTCTACCTACGAGAAAGAGCCGTATGCTCTTGTTTGTGTCCTGAAACATTAGAAGCACCTTCTCCTGGGAAGACACTTCAAGATCTTCTCAGATCACTCCACCTTAGAGTGGATGAAGTCCCAGGGAGAGTTAAATGATAAGTTGGCACAATATATTCAGTTCATAGACATGTTTGACTTTGAATTGAAACATAAGAAGGGCTGCTACAACAAAGTAGCAGATGCCCTCTCCTGGAGGCCTGACTCTTTTGCATTGATCTCCTCTACTCACTCCTTTGGAGAGGAGACCCGTCAGACCATTGCTCGTCTTCTGCCTCACGACCCGACTTTTGGGCCCATAGTGAGGAATCTACAAGCGGATCCCAATGTTGAACCCGGCTATGCCCTGAGTTTAGACTTGCTGTACACCTACAGCAGAGGTGAGGAACGCTTGTGCATTCCCCAAGATCAACGACTCAGGACACTGCTGATGTCAGAGTGTCATGATGCCCGCGGACACTTTGGGTTCTTAAAGTCTTATGCAGCCCTGTCGCAACGCTTCTTCTGGAAGGAGATGCGGAGTGAGATGCTGCGCTATGTGGAAACCTGTGAGCTTTGTCAGAGGAACAAGGTCCAACGCAGACCTCCTCTGGGACTACTCGACCCTTACATATACCTGATGGCCCTGCTGAATCTGTGTCAATTGACTTCACAAATTTAGGCAAGACCACCCCTCGTGGCATGCGTCAGGTTATGGCCTGCGTGAACAGGTTCTCCAAATACACAGTTCATCCCCTTGCCAGAAGTAGCTAGAGTCCCGGCTGTGAGAGCAGCCTTTTTATAGAGGTGGGTCACACACCATGGACCGCCCACTTCTATAGTCAGTGATAGAGACCCCCGATTTTGCAGCGATGAGTGGCAGTCCTACTGTAAGGACTACCTGCACTCACGATTGGACATGACTTCTGGTCATCATCCTGAAGCCAATGGTTAGGCTGAAGTGATAAACCAAGTCTTATTCCAATTGCTGCGTCCTGTCATCTCTCCAGATCAACAGGACTGGGATCTCCACTTGGCTTGGGCACAACTCATTTATAACATGTCTGTCCACTCCTTGAGTGGGTTCAGTCCATACCGGTTGCACTGGGGACGTGAACCACAACAACCTCTCGATGATATCATCGATAAGGCTAAGTCAGACCTGACACCAGGCACCGCAGAGTTCACCAGACGCTATTGCATAGATGTGGAAAGAGCACGGGCGAACTTGTTCAAAGCCCAAAAGGCAATGATTGAACGAGCTAATCGCCACAGGCGGCCTTCCCCCATTCGCACCGGTGATTATGTCTGGGTAGCCAGTTCTGAGCTGTTGAGAGAGGAGGATATCTCCCCCAAGCTGTTGCCTCGTTACTTGGGTCCATGGCAGGTCTTAGATACAGTGGGCGCTGTTCCATTCGGCCCATCCTATGTCATTGACGTCCCGCTGCATCTACGGACCTACCTGGTCTTCCATGAATCTAAGCTGCTTCCATCACTCCAACTGATGCATTCCCAGACTGACCTCCTCAATTTGGTCCACCGATCCCTGGCAAGGGGTATGATGTGGAATGGATTGAGGATGAGTGGGGCACAGGCCCCGATCGACAGTATCTATTGAGGTTCGCGTTCCAGCCTCCTTCTGAGATCAGATGGTTCTACAGAAGGGAACTTCTCAAGACAACAAAGTTAGTTGTTTTACGATATGAAGCGGCTCAGAAGGGCAACCTTCCTCGTCGTTCACCTCGCCTGCAGCCCTAGCTCGGAGGTCCTCGCTCCCCGGGGGGGTAAGCCTGCAATGACTTGCTGATTTCGACTGCCGAGACTGACTGTGAGGCTGTATAGTACACTGTGTTTGCTGTGTTTTTTTTTTTGTTCGCACTGAGGGACGCCCGCTGTTCTAAAAATAGACAGAATTAACAGCAGTAGAGGCTGAGTAGTTACCGGCCCTAAGTGGCCTTGAACCCTAAGTGCAGCAGCAGGACCGATTCCGTAGAGGCTGAGTAGGCCCTAACTGAAATGGTACCGGTAGGCCCTAGGCTAGGATAGTGTAGAATCTACAAGTAGGTTTGGGTAGGACTGGTGGGGACTTTTGACTGTTCATTTTCGCGACGCAGCATTTGGAGAAGCCAAGCAAGTTGGCGGTGGCAATTGTCTGCAGGCGGTATCCTGAGACCCTTGCCTAGGACGGCGGCCATAGCTGGCCCTTTTGAAGGTTGCCGGAGCTGGGGCACCCTCAGCGCATCTACCCTGGGGGTATCTGCGTTTGGCCAGGCTATGCTGAGGCTCTTCACTGAGTGTTTGTGGGTGGCGGCAGCCATAGCTGCCTGTTTCTTCGTCAGAGTTGTCCATCGGCACTGAAGACTTCATCGCAGGGTCTGTTCTTCATCTGGGTGGTTGGCGCTGGCCTCTGGGAGGCTGTTTCGGTTGGGCGCTACTAACTGGGTGTAGGGTAGAGAGTGGAGTGTGGGGTTTTGAGAGTGGCGAGATATTGGAACAAACTCTGTAACAATATTTGAGTTTAATTGGCTCATCATCAGTGTGTATTCCAATTGTTATCCTCGCATGTTTGTGCTTGTGATTGGTTGTTGGGAGTCTGTCAGAGAGTGAGAATCACGCAGTGTCTTCTCCTCATTTGTGCATGGCTGAACTTCCGCTACATACTCTGATCTGTGTGTAGTGTGGACTCTGTCTCCTCTCCCCCTTCTCTTATGCATGTATGGGCATGTATGAGACTGTCTGTGTGTGAGTGGCGGTAAAAATCGTCAGACAACCAAGTTCATAACACAACGGCCTGCTTGCCTCTTGGCGAGTGACTTCCTAGGGCGCGCGGCCTCCAAGCAACCGGTACCTCCTCCCTTTCGGAGGGAAACATCATTGCTGACTCTGATATTGCCCGTACAAGCCCTAGACTCAGACTGGTTGGACTGGTACCCGCCTAGACCTAGCCTACAACTACTGGGCGTCTAAAAATGCCAACTTTTGTCTTCTTCTGCTCAGCCTCGAGTACCCAGCACATCTATCTCTTCCTGGTGTGGTACCGGCCTACCTGCTACGTGAGTGTGTTTCGGTGCTTCAAGTGCCGCGGGCCTCTTTACCCGTCCCCGCTGCAATCCTTAATGTCACGGCCACAGGTAAGTACCGGCCCTTCGGGCCCACTGAACGAACAAGTGCCCTTGTGGGTCACGCACGCACTCAAGCCGACAAGAACTCGTACAAACATGCAGACCAGCAAGCGTGCACACACACAGACTTAGAGAACTCAGTAACGAGCGGGAAACTCCAGCAAGGCATTCATTCCATGAGCAAAACTCAGAAATCAGCTGTGTCTCAGTCTGTGTTTGGTCAGGTCATTACAATGACCCCCAATTGCAAAAGAAATGAAGGCACTTGCAAAGTGATAGAAGCCAAAGAAGAAGAGGAAGAAGAAGAAGAAGAAGAAGAAGACGACGAAGAAGAAGAAGACGAAGAAGAAGAAGAAGAAGATGTACACCAGCAAGACCAATGACAAATCCCCCTTCTCTCTCGACCCTCCTCCTCCTCCTTGTCTTTGCCAATGTTTATTCTTCTCCCGAATAATAACAATGAGTGGTTGAACCAGAATCAATATCCGAAGTTCCCTCTCACTGCCAACACAACAATAGGTTCATCATAGCCATGGCTTCCCCTTTCACCTTCCTCTCAGGCGGACCACTAAAGGCTCTGCCCTCCTGTGCAAAAGACAACTCGAAGTAGCTATGGTCGCTGCTCTTCAGGCCGCCGTGCCTGACTCTGCCTCGAAGCTTCCTTGGAGCGGCACTACCCCAACTGGGGCCTTCCAGATGCAGCGCCTATTGAGTTGATGAAGACGGTGTCCACCATAGCCAGGTACGTACCTCGCCACTTTCCTCCTTCGCCCCCTTCTTCCTTCTTCTCAAGCCGGGCTGCTCGCCATAGCCAGGTTGAACGCTCAGCTCCTCGTCGTCCTCCCAGGCAGCACTCTGAGTCCAGGCTGCCTGCTCAAGCAGTATGTTGCCCAACCTTGCACACCGCAAATGAGGAGGAGCTACTCGCTCCTCCAGAAGATATAGTGGCCTACTTTCCTCTTGGGAGGTGACTTCCAGGCCGTGCGGCCTCCAAGCGACCGGTACCTCCTCCCTTTCTGAGGGAAACATCATTGCAGGCTCGGATATCGTCCGTACAGGCCTTAGGCTCAGGCTACTTGGACTGGTACCGGCTACCTCTAGCGTACTGCTACTGGGCCTCTAAAAATGCCAACTTTTATTCTTCTTATGCTTGGCCTCGAGTACCCGACACATCTAGCACTTTTGAGTGGTACCGGCCTACCTGCTACTTGAGTGTTTTTCTCGCTGTCGCGGGCCTACCCCAGCTACTTGAGTGTTT